TTGGCTTGAGAAAGCCACTTTTTCTCTTTGGCTCCTCTTTTTGGAGGAATAAGCATGAAGTTCACTGGGTTTAGGTATTCCTGTAACACAACTGAATGAGTGAAATTAGGTTGACCTTCTGCATGACTGAGTCTGTTTTGACCCACATTTAACCCCCAGAGTCTATTGACTAGGCAATTGACCCTTTTGACCTTCCTATGTGGCACAAATTTCCCATACCCCCATTGACCAAGTTAAATATGTCAGGGGAGTAGAGTTATCCAGAGAGTACCAGGCAGGAGGCGTTTGGCCTAAACCATGTTTTTATAAATACAGCAGCCTTAAGAGTGAAAATATAAGCTCTGTACTAAGATTGACAAAGTACAAATTGTTTAGCAAGAGTTTGATTAGATTTGAAATGGGGAAAGCACGTGGGACTTCCCGTACATTTCATCAATTTTCCAAACATGCCAAGTGTCTTAAGAATACCAAAAGGGGGGTGGAAGGTTTCCAAGACCTTTCATTTCCAGTTTGGGTCTATTGACTAGTTAATTAATAACAAATAACTAGTATGTTATCTCAAGAGAAGAAAAAAATCTGTCATGTTTGTCCTTTTGCTACCTGATTAAAGGCAATTCATTTCCCCCTTTCTGTGAAGCTTCAAATTCACAAAACAAATAGTAAAGGATGCCTGTGTAAGGACTTACTGTCACTCAAAAAAAAAAAAAAAAGATTAGCAGCATCTATTTTTTTGAAAAATGGAATGCAGTAATAATATTACACATTTTGTTAGATAATTTTGTTCTTTTCTTACTGCCATAAAATTCATAGGGCAAGAGTTAGTTACTACAAATTTAGCTTCATAAACTCCACTGTTGCAATGAAAGGATCCTAATGTCATTTTCTATTAAGCCTGAACCATTCATTGCCACTTCTGCATACAACTATTGGTAACATAATACCAATTATTAAACAGAATTATGCACATATATCTACCAATGTTGTACACAAGCCAGTAGCAGGATTCTGTTAAACCAAGACAGAAAATGAGATAACTGGCTAGACACTCACTGAGTGCATAATTTATTGATTGTCTTGAATACATCAGACTTTAGTACTTTAGTGTTTTATATGAAGATATATTTTAGAAATGTTGATTAAAGGAACATCTTCCATAGAAAGACTGTAAGAGGTAATTGGATAAATGTGCAATTTATCCATAAGATCATTAGTAGTTTGGTTCTGCATACATTCTCTCTCTCTCTCTCTCTCTCTCTCT